TATAGTGGGTAAATAGAAAGAATCAAATAACAAGCCTTACACTACTATACAAATCAATACATAACCGTCGTGTATCATTTTTAATATTTTAACCCAACGTTCTCCTCCTAAATTTCTGAAGTGATGAGGAACACAATTGTCATCTATGGCATTCTCCCTTAAAATTGTAAGAATCATCAGATTTGGGGTCTTCAAAGAAAAAAGGAACATACATGAAAAAAAAATCTTCAATCAACACCATATGTGAAATATTCAATTCCACTTACATAAAAAAACTCTCCCCCTTATTTCTTCAATAAGTTCTTGGAGATGATCCATAAGTTATGGAGCTCTACATGGACCACTTTCCCAAGGTGTCAACACGAAACATTCAAAACATATAGATCTAAAAAAAATCTTGAAACGCAAATCAAACTTGGAAATCCAAGACTCCATAATCAAATCTTAAAAATTATCTTCGTAATAAACAAAAATAAACTTCATTTTAGATGAACAGTAATAGTTCGATAAGTTTCGGGTGAACAATAACACTTTGATAAACTTTAGATGAACAATAACATTTCAGAGCTTAATAACGCATGAACAATAACTTTTAAAAATTTAATAACACATGAATACTAACTTTTTAGAATTTGATAACACATGAAGAATAACTTTTTTGAATTTAAGAACTCGTGAACAATAACTTTTCAGAACTAGATCAGTAGAATACGAAGCATTCTGAGAATTCGATACACTTTGGTATATATCATGCATATCAACATCTTCAAAGTCTTTCTTCATACCAAGAACTTGGAGTCTTCGAAAATGAACAAAACACAAATCTTTTTGGATTTTTGGAGTTTTCGGGGTTTTTTTGAAGCTTAAACATATAAAAACGGAAATCATTTTGGGGTTTTTCAGGGTTCTTTTCTGAGGCATCAAATAAAATTAAGAAGCTCCCTTGAAAGAATGAGCAACCAAAGAATAGGGTTTGTGATCTTAATGTCTAATCAAGTCTAACCACCTATAAAACTTAGTCTAAACCACATATTTGGGACATCGAGATGAAAGAAGAAAAACAGGCCTTTAGCTCGGAGGCCATCATGGTCCTTATGCATATAATCACTACCATAAATTATCCAATTAACAATATAGTTTGAAGCAATGGAATCGACTACAAGACCAATATGAATGTGACACTAAGCACGTCTACGATACAACACCAAGCCTCTCTAGAAATCTAACAGATATGAAAAAATAGACAGTGTTGAGACATATAGGGTTGTTATCATGATCGTCATTGTTGTTGGTAATACCAAAGTACATCAAAGTAATGCCACCATTATATAGATGACTACCAAATGATTGTTTAATCCTATAGAATATCATGTGTAAGAGGGTGAAGATTTAGAATGACTCTTTTCTTCATCTCTAGGAAACTCTTCAAGAGTAAAGATACAAAGAACATCATTATAAAGAAGACCTACCAGACCCTTAAAAACTGGGTATAATAAGAGATCCCACTTTTTATTTACCGTAGGAAACAAGTCAATTGGGACTACTCATTACCATGAAGTAGAGCATGACTTGATGTCAAGTCTATTTTAAATGGAGGAGAATGCATGAAACCCTGATCCAATTGATCAATGAAACAAGAAAACATCGAATCAAATAGCCAACATGAAAGACTGAAGAATCGGTTCGACCTCGTCGATAGACCAGTATTGCCATACCACAACGTTGGGGGCTCGATGGCTTTCATTAAGCAAATGTTTTCCATGGGCCATATTGGACTTTAATTTTTGGGCGTTTAGGAGAAGCAATTTTGAGGGTGGTGTGGGTTAATTTAAAGCCTTTTGAGTTTCATTGGGGCTATTTTGATTATTTTGGTTTTATATACTTTCTTTTATTTTGATTCTTTTGGTTTTATATAATTTCTTATTTAAATAATCGGTTCCTTAAACAATTAGGAGCATATCAACATTTTAGTTTATTACAAGTTAATAGGAAACTATCTTTTCGCTTATTCAGATTAAGTTTAAGTGTTTTTATGGTAGTATAATTATATTTTTGATAATTTTTGAAGAAATAAAAATGGTTCTTTCGAGTGTCTTAAGGCCATCAAGTAGGGGTGGCAAATCGGGCATTCGTGTTGTGTTTTTGTCTGACACGACAAGGTTTTATGAAACACGATCACGACACAACACGATGTCATGTTTTTTTTAACTAACACGAAAACAAACCAATTAAAAAACGACAAACACAATATGACATGAAAAAGATAACATAAAAGGGAAAATGACACATACGCCCTATGAACTTTCCAGGGTTGACCCTTTTAGTCACTTAACTTTTTAAGTGGATTTATGAGGGAACAAACTATAGTTTGTCGGGTATATTACGTCGTTATTTCATTTATGAAGGGGTCGTTCGATCATATTTAGGCCACTTGTTTTACTTAAACCACATAGCATGTTGATTGTGTAGTTTGTCCATTGCCATGTCATTAAATAATGCCACATAATAATTTGTTCCCTCACTGTTCATTACATAGCTTTACGGATTTTAAATGAGACCTTTTTCCCTTGATTGTTCACCACTTCTATCTCTTTCGATAAACCCTTACTTGCTTTCGTCTCCTCAAACCTCAAACATGGATCCCGTATTCATCCAAGTCGATGTGCACTTCTAAGGGATCTTCGCCAACCCATATGCTACACCGATGGGATTACTCAGAGGTTGTCAGACATCGATTTTGCAGGCATTGACAAGAACGGGTGTTATGAGTTTATCAAAAGGTACACTGGAGAAAAATGTGAGAAGCTCTATTACTGCCAACCAAAAATTGAGTTTCCAAAAGTTTGACTTTAATTACCAGTGAGATGGATTATGCAGATTTTATAGCAATTGCTTATGAATATGGTGTTATATTCCCTATGTATGTAGACCATTTTGGTAATAGTAACATGCAGGAATGGTTGGATGAACACAAAGAAGAGGTGTTGATAACATAGACAAAGAATTGATTGTTGGTACAAGAATAATTAAGGAAGTTGAGATAGGACATGTGGATGAGGATGAGGATGAAGATGACCATGGGGCTAAGGATGATGATGTTGATGATGATGAGGATGATCACGACAACCCTCATTTTTTCAAAAAAATATAATGGGCCTGATGTCGACATGGTTGAGAATATAAGTGTGGGTGAGCCTTTGGAAGAAGACATAGATGAAAATGAAGATGTTTATCCAGAGTTGCCAAATATTTTCAATGAAAAGCTACATTAGAAGGAGCAGGAACCTATGTTAGGTATGAGGTTTGAGAGTCCTAAACAATTGAAACACATTCTCTGTAACTATGCTGTTGCAAATGGTTATTAAATATTGTTATGAAAAATGTACATTTAGGGTTTAGGGTTCATGGATGATTGATGATAAGTCTTTCCAGATCAAGTCTCTTATCAGTGATCATAATTGTGCAAAGAATTTCAAATTCGGATCAATTATCACTTATAAATGGATAGGTACCCACTTTATTCAACAATTTTTTCAACAATCAAAAGATGAGTGTCAGACTACTTAGAGAGGATGTGAAAACCACTTTTTGGCATTGATGTGAGTATGAGTCAATGTAGGAGAGCCAAAAAGTATGCATTGACTCTAGTTAAAGGCACAGTTGCAGAAAATTATGCTAGAATCTGGTCATATGGAGAGGAGATTAAAAGATGAATTGTATATCCACTGTTAAAATTTCTATGTATGCAATGCCTGATGGTAAGAATTACCTCAGCGTGTTGTAGTCAAAGAGGAATGGAGGGGAGGGTGTAGAAGGATCATTAACTTGGACGGTTGTTTCCTGAAAAAAAATTTCCAAGGTGAGTTGCTTTGTGTTGTTGGTAGGGATGGTAACAATGGAATATTCCTAATTGCTTGGGCGGTTCTATGTGTGTAAAACAAGGAGAATTGGAAATGGTTCATTGAAAATCTTTCAGAAGATTTACAGTGTTGGAATAAAGGAAGTGGTTTGGTTTTAATTTCTGATCAACACAAGGTATGTTTCATAAATATTAAACATAATATAATTAATATTTACATTTCTAACTTCATTCCTTCCTATTACATATGAAGGGTTTGGTTGAGGCAATCAAAGAAGTATTCCCAGCAGCAGAACATAGGCAATGTGCCATACATATATATATGCTAATTTTAGAAAGAGATTTAGTGGAGCCAAGTTTGAAAAGTTGTTTTAGAGAGCAAGCAAGGCAACAACTGAAGCAAATTTTAACATAGTCGTGAAAAAGATTGAAATGTTGAATCCTGAAGCCATTATGCATCTTACGGATAGAGATCCAAAGACTTGGTCTTTAGCTTTTTCTTTTCAGAGTTCACAATTCATCTTGTGAGTCTATGGAGAATGCTTTTCAGAGAGATTTAATAGTGTCATTTTGATGCTAGGAAGAAACCTATTATCAACATGTTAAAGGAAATTCGTATATATTTGATGCAAAGGATGGTGAGTATCAAACTAATAGGTCACGGATGGAATCGTTACTCTGTTTGTCCAAAGATCATAAAAAGATTGAATATTCCCCAAACTTGGCAAAGGTTTGTACACTTATTTATTTATACATACCTTACCTCTCTCAACTCTAAATATTTGCATTACATTATATACACATTGGCAGGTTGTGTCTTGTGGAGGTATGAAGTTTGAAACAAGGAAAATGGATGAGTTGTACAGTGTTGATGTGACAAAAAAGGAATGCAGTTGCAGGTTATGGCAACTAAATGGTTATGGTTGTGTTCATTCAGTAGCTACATTAGCATCTTTAAACGTTACACCTGATGGACCATATGTAGACCCATTGTACCTTGGAGACTTCTTCCATAATACTTACAAACAGTCCACAAATAGCATGAATTGAATGAACATGTAGCATTCTACAGACTATATACCTCCATTGCCTCCATTGAAAAAAAGAATGTCAGGCAGGCCAACAATGAAAAGAATGAGGAATGCTTCTGAAAGGTTTGGCAAACACATGGTTTCAAAGGCAGGGAAAAAGGTTTCTTGTGGCATATGCAAACATAAAGGACACAACAAGACCACTTACACTCAAGTGCCAAAATGTCACAAAGAAACAAAAGGTTATTCAAACACAAAACTCGATGAATATTCAAGTGGGTGGGGAAGATGATGTTATGGGTGATGCAGTTGAGCCACAAGCTCAGGAAGTTATGAGGGTAAATGAATATGAGGAAGTGGTGAGGGTTAATGAAGCTGAGGAATTGGTACGGGTTAATGAAGGTGAGGAACTGGGAAGGGTAAATGAAGTTGTTGGGCATGTGTATAGTAGAGGTTAACCAAGAAAGAGGAAAAAGTCTGAGAGAATTCTTAAAATAAAACTTGCTAAAAGGGTTGAAGGTGAAGGTAGTAGTGTTGGATCGCCAATGGACTTGGATTAATTATAGTTTTAATTATGTGTCTATTATATGGATTATGTAAACAAGGGAATTTATGTTTGTTATGTTAATCTATGTTATAATAATTTTAAGATTTGATATTTTGATTCGTGTATGTAATTACATTATGTATGATATTCTTTATATTAGTGTGTACGGAGTACTTTAGTCATTAATAATATTTAAACAGGTAGGGGTATGTAGCACCCGGTTCCTGGTATGTATTTAAATCCAAGTATTTTGGTATTCTACTCTGGGACTCGGCGAGTTGGAGGCCCAACTCGTCGAGTAGACTCGACATTATGCGGGGGTTTTAGTGATCTACTCGACGATTCGGGGGACCGACTCGACGAGTAGGAGCTGTCTGGACAAAACCCTAATATTTAGGGTTTGCACCCTATTTAAACACTTTATCTCGTCCCAAATCAACCTCCATCACCCCTCCCAATTCAGAGAAGCCCTAGATTGAAACCCTAACCTTGTTTGAGTGATCTTGATCCATTTTTGTATGTTTTATGGTGGTTTCAAGTATGAAGAAGAGAACGAAGCTTGGAAGATCAATAGAAGACTAGTAGATCCAAAGGTTTTGATTTATTTCCATCCCATTCAAGGTAAAAAGCTTCAACCTTGACTTCTCATTTGATAGATCTCCTCTAGGGCTTAGATCTTATCATTTTGGGGCATTTATAAGGCCATCTTCGGATTGAGTGTGTATCATGGAGTTACACTTCAGATCTTGAACCATTGAGGGTGTAACACGCTAAATCTGGTATGACTTGAAACCCTCAAGAATTTACATTTTAGCATAATTGGTCCTTTATGTACGCTGGGCGTACTTAAGTGTACGCTTAGCGTACTATACATGGCTTGTCGGGAAGGAGCTGGATGTACGCTGGGGGTACCAGTAGTACGTTGGGCGTACGTGCCAGGGGTCCAAAACCCTAATTTTCAGACATGAGGCTTATTTAAGCGACCTTAAGTCCCTTGGACTTAACCCTAGAGAGCCTTCACGGCTTTAGAACGTCCTTACACTCCAGAGAAACATGTGAGACCATTTTGAGCTTTAAAGAGTGCATTTGTGGCCCTTTTAGTGTTCATTCCAAGAAGAAGAGGTGGTTAAACAAGCTTGGAACGAGTTGGTGCTTCAAGAACCTACATCTTAGTCATCTACCAAAGCTTCTGGAGGTAAAAAACTTGGATCTTTCATCTTAAATCTCTAGATTTAGCTAGGGTTTTCTACCTTGTCCCTTTTGGTTGATTTTGGACCTCCATTTGTGAGTTAAGCAACTCCAGAAGATGGGAAAGACAAATATGAGGTCCCTTGGTCCTTTAGAACCATAAAAATTGAGTCTTGATGGGATTTTTGGCCTCATTCATGGGTTAAAAACCTTGAAACAGTCTTAATGGAGGTGTTGGGTGTATATGAGGCATGCAAAGGCATAAAGTTGCCAACTTTATGCCTTAGGACGTCTTAACAAACTTAGATCTGGCTTTTGGACATAAAGGAATCGAGTATTAAGCACTTAATGGAGAAAGAGCTTAAACTGGTTGTACGTTGGGCGTAACCCAGTATACACCGCGCGTAGTTCCAAGACCCCAGTACGCTGCGCGTACCAAGATGGTACGCCGAGCGTACGCATCACAGATGGGCCGAATCTGTTTTGGGCCTGTGAGCTATTTGGGCCTCATTTGATTATTGGGCATGGTGTATTCTGGGAATTATGAGTCATATCATATGTTATGGGCCATGGACATATTGATTGGGCTTTATTGGGCCAAGAGGCCCATTAAGGATTTTGGACTTGGACTTTGGGCCAATTAGCAAGAGATGGATAATTAGGCCTTATGAAAGGGTTTGGAGTTTGGGTTTCCCTTGGTTAATTAAAGTCCTAACATTGTTTAATATTATTATTCAGCACAGGAGGTTACGGACCGTTAGGAGAACAGTTTTTGTATTCAGCAGGCAGAGGTGAGTCTTCTCACCATACCCATGGGTCTAAGGCACCAAGGCCGGCCGATTATGCGATTATGATATATGTGTTAGTCATTATGTGTTTCGGTATGTCATCTAAATGTGTGTTTTGCATGGAAGACCTCGGGGGGAGCCCGTGGCATTGGATGTAAGACCATGCGGGGTAGCCCATTACAGTCCTAGGTAAAGACCATGTGGGGTAGCCCATGGCAGTCCTAGGTAAAGACCATGTGGGGTAGCCCATGGCATTCTTACAGGTTTTATGTATGCATGGCTTATGTGATATGTGTGTAGCTTTAATTAGCTAACAGGATATGTGTATGTGTATTGTGTGTGGTATGTTCTGGGGAAATCACTAAGCGTTTCGCTTACAGGTTGTTGATTTGTTTCAGGTACATCTGAGCCCAAGGCCAAGGGCAAGGCATGATGGCGCGGCGTGCACTCTATCTCTCTTTCACTTATATGTTTTTGGGGACACTCTGATGATTTAAATAAGTTGTAATGAATACTGATTTGAAAACAATTATGTTGGGTTTTCATGGTTTATGCAAATGTGTTTTGTTAATTAAAAATGAAAATTTCTTTGAAAAATTTGGGTCGTTACAAGTTGGTATCAGAGCCTTGGTTTGAGAGATTTGGGCACACTCTCGAGTGTGTCAGGACTCAAACTAAGGAAATGATAAATTGTTTTCAAAATGAAAGTTAAAAACTTTTAAGAAATGAAAAGAAGAGAGTACAACGCGTGCGATCGACCGAGCCAACTAAGTAGTTCCCAATGTGTTTGCCATGTTATACTGATATTTTAGCTTGATGATCGTATGAGACTTGCTATGTGTATGCTTTTAAAAATGTATACGGCTAGGTGCTTATAGCCTCAGAATGATTGATTTGGCCTTATTTCCTATTCCTTGTTTGGTTGTGGTCCTAGGGTAGAATATTTTATTCAAAAGTCTATTTGATCCTTTTATGTGTATAATTTGCATGCATAAAGGCAACCTGTTATGAATGGTTTGATTGATATGGGTAGAGAAAATCTTAGGACAGCCTGGGATTTGGGTTAGGCAGTGGTTGTGGGTTATGATTTATTTTGGGACGAATTGGAGTTATCAGGTGGAGCCTTGGGAAAAGGTACAGGTAGGTGTGGAAGGTAGTATTGGGCCCGTACTACTGAAAGCACAGGACCTGTACCTGAACCATTGCTAGATCTTATCACTCTAAGGAGGACCGGTGTGGGAAGATCCCCAATATATAATGTGTCCTGATTATTATGGTTTATGACATTTCAGTTCAGCATGGTGGTGACACGATTTTGGGCAGGGGGATCAGGATCTGGGTCTGGATCGGGCAGCGGTACTGAGCCTATTGATGAGAGACTATGCGATATCATTGCAGTCGAGGTTACGAAGGGCATCCTTGACACTACCCCAGTCATTTTTGGGACGGTCAAGGAGGGCATTATAGAGATCATGGAGGAGAGACTCAGATCATTTAGGGCTGAGATTGCTACGGGCCAGATTGGGCCCAGACTCCCTCGTTCCGGGAGTTCAAGGCGTGTGGGGCGCAAGACTTTTTCGGGGTCAGGGACCCAATTGTCAGCCGACGCTGGGTGGCGGATATCGAAAACGCCCATCGCACGAGTTCTTGCCTGGATGTGGTAAAGGTTGGTTTTGCTTCTTGCATGCTGAGAGACAGAGCCCGGGATTGGTGGGGCGACGTTACTAGACAGGTGGGACCAGCCGGGGTGGCTGAGATGACATGGGCCGAGTTTTTTCGGCTATTTGATTTGGAGTTTGCACCACCCATTGAGGTACAACGACTAGTGCGAGAGTTTCATGATCTGCAGCAGACCACCGAGACTGTGGCGTAGATCACCACCAAGTTTCGGGAACGAGCTTTGTTGATCCTATAGTATGCTACCAATGAGGAGATGAGACGGACCCGATATCATTCCATGCTGAGGGATGATATCCAGGAGTTTGTAAGCTTTACAGGGTGAAAAACCCTAAATTAGATTGTGGAGAAGGCCCGTGAGAGAGAGATGGAGTTGGATTCCCGCACGAAGCAGAAAACGAAGCAGGTGCAGGCAGCAGGGGGTCAGGCTAAGAAGCCTAAGACCTCTGATTCTTTGGGTAGAGGCCATCAGGGCTGGGGCCGATGTGCAAAGTGCGGGAGGTTTCATAGTGGGGCTTGTCGGACAGCTGGGATATCGGGATGTTACTTTTGTGGTCAGCAGGGCCACATGAACAGGGATTGCCCCAAGAAGGGATTGATATGTTTCCACTGCAACCAGACTGGCCATAAAAAGGCCGATTGTCCGAGGTTGCAGGGAGGGGGAGGAGCAGTGGTGGCGCCCGCGCCCGCCATAATGAGGATCACAGATGGCCGCCCTGCTAAGGCGGATGCCCCGGCGATGAAGAGTCGTGCTTTTCAGCTGACTACCGAGGAGGCTCGGGCAGCTCCGGACGTCGTAGCTGGTACGTATCTATTATTCTCTGTTCTTATTATTTGTATGACTTATGTGTACTATATGCTTGTATAGGGACCTTTTTGGTCATTGGTATGTCTGCTCATGTCATGTTTGATTCGGGTGCTACCCGATCGTTTGTATCACTTGCGCTTAGCAAGAAGTTCCGGGATGCGCCCGGAGCTCTGGATTCCCCACTCGAGGTAGAGATTGCAGACGACCGCACCGTTAGTGCTGCGAGGGTGTATCGGGACTGTGTCCTGAATGTGCTTGGAGAGAGGTTTCATGTCGACCTAGTCCCGATACCGTTGCGAGGGCTGAAGGTCAGGGTTCGAACCCCAAGTGGGGGAGAACTGGTTATTCATGGTGAGAGGGCCTCGCAGGGACCGACCCTCTGTTTGACAGCGAGGGCTAGGATGTTTTTACAGCAGGGTTGCACGGGATTTCTGGCTTATATCTCGGATA